GGGGGGGCGTCTCACAAATGTGACTAGCTGTGACAAGGACGGGGGGAGGGGTATAAGAATCATGAAATTCGTGTGACGTAATTTATGGATGACCCCTAAGCTTCAGTGGGCTCCACGTATAGATTAGTTATCGAAAAGGCTCAGTTCTGCAGCATATGCCGTTAAAAAAAATTAGAAATTTAACCGATGTTGATTGATAAAGCGCGAATAGTATACTTTAGTTATTTTCATAGTGTCATGTCATATGGTATTCTCCTATAGGGGAATGCTGCTGACATTCAGTCTATCTTTGTTCTGCAGAAGAGGACCATTCGATCAATTTATAATCTTAGTCCGAGGTACTCTGTCAGGGAACTATTTAAAGAAATTAATGTAATGACTGTTGCCTCTCAATATATTTATGAAAATGTAGTATATGCTCATAAAAACAAAAGTTTATTTAAAAAGCATAGTGATATACATAGCATATAATATCAACACAAGAAACAAAGACAAATATGTTGTTCCCACTACTAGACTTAAGAAAATAAGTGGTTCGTTTAGATGTCAGAGTATACGCTTTTACAATGAAATTCCCAGCCATATCCAAGATTTAAGTCTAAATAAATTTAAAAATGTCATTAAAGATAAGCTTTATAGTAAAGCTTTTTATAAATTATAAGACTACCTAGACTATCTAGATGATAGTCGGGATTGGGATTGGGAATAAACTGCTTTAATGTCCACACAGGTTGACGTTAGTAACATATAGTTAAATTTCTTTTTATATACAATTTGACATCATTATTTTAATGTGACATTGTTTTTCATTTGAAAATTTTATTTTTTATTTATTTATATTTTTTTTCTACCTTGACATTTACTTTTTATTTTACATATTGTCTGGACTTTAAAAGAGACAGTCCTCTGAGTTTGTTTCGGCATTTCTTCTCAGAGTAGTCAATTTGGAAATGTCGGCCTCATCGTTCGCTTGATAAAATTGACGTGTAAAAGTACTGCCTTGTAGCCTATTTGCAGAAATAAATTCACTTGTTTCACTTGGTAATAATAAATTAACCACAACCACAGAAAACGCACACAACGTCTTCCGACGCACCCTGACACAACTAACTTTCTTTCGTATCTCCACCACAAAATACATTTGTATATAAGAGGGAGTAAAATCAAAGTTCAAAAGGTAGGTATCAACCTTTTGAACTTTAACTTTACTTTTTGTCGATACAGAAATATTAAACACCGCGTAACTTTACTTTTTGTCGATACAGAAATATTAAACACCGCGAGGACACCGGTGACCGCAACCTATTGTTCTTTAATTGTGTCTATGATGACGGTACTCAAAGGGAAAAGCAATAGCCAGGGAAATCATTATTTTGACTGGTTACTCTACCTAAAGGGGTTTAAAGGGGGGGGAACACTAGCCTGAAGAGCAAGATTGTAGATTGTTTTTCTATATTTAATGCAAAATTGCTAAGTGTTTTGAGGATGATTGATTGATTGTCATAACTATACCTGAATGTATTATCAGTGTATGGTTGTGCCATGTATGATCCAATGAGTGTCTATCGGATATATGAACCCACCCTAAGTCTTTTTTACAATATCCCCCACAGAGTACATTTTGATATCTCCTTTCTGGTGCTAACAATATATTTGTGTACTAGCTGACCCGGCACATTTCGTACCACCTAAGACTATATTTCTCACCTTTTGAACCTTCCCTAAACTTCCATGAATATTTCAAGACGAAAATTAGCCACGAGTTAGAGCGAGACGAACTCATCAATAGTTTTGGTGCTCAACTAACAATGAATTTCAATGTTCATTTTGAAATTATGTATGAAACCTGTGTAAAATATTATAAGCTTATTTAAGAAACAGGGTATTTTGTAAAAAAATATATAAAATACCAAATCAATGGAAATGTCAGGTTGTTCAAAAACTTTGATTTATTACTTAAATTATTAGCAAAAAACAACTGGGAGCTAAATTAATTTGCTAGATCAATTAACGAATTTGACAATATAACAACTACTTTATGCTTGATTGTCAGTTTACAGTCTGACTGTACCAGCCTCCTGGACATCCTTTTGTTTGTGTGCTCCATCACAGAACGGTCGATTTTTTGTTTGTTTACAGTTGCACAGCCAGTAATCTTTAGTTTTTTCCACAGTGAACCTGACGGGCCTAGAAGGAGATTATAATATTACAAGCTGTGTTCTAACCTCACTAAATTTAGGGATATAAAGAAATATATAATACATCTGAAGCTGCGAAAATTATATATTCCTTTATATTAGATAGATAAGTAGACTAAGATGTTTTATTGAAGTTGTAAATACATTTGTTCTATAGAAGCACGATGGGATTGACATCATCACAAAATGTGTATGAAAAACCCCTTACAATAAATGAGATTAAAAACAAAAAAAAACCTCACTAAATGAGAGCAGATAATCTGTATTGGGATAAATAATATTACCTCCTCATGAAAGGAGGAACTCACCTCTGAGAGATCTTAAGATAGATATCCTTGTGGGTCCCATCACATAATGGTTGAGACTTAGAGCGCCCACATAAGCACCAGTGGTATGTCTTGCCTGCCTCTAGAGTCAGCTTGAATGGTTTTTTGTCATATACTACACCATTATCCTTCTGATTTGTAGCAGAATATACAGATGCTAATGGATTCTTTGGTATTTCCGGTTTAGGGCTTTTAGTTGCATAATTAATCTGCAAATATTACAAAGTTACAAACACATAATTCAATTCTGGTTTATTTTTATCTCAAAATTAAATATAATTCACAACTTACTGATCGTAGTGAACTTGCTAAGAATACTTGATATGGTTTCCTAATAAACATATTGATTTGATTAAACGAATTCTTCTTTTTTCAATTTATTTATTATATTGTAATCTTTGTACAATATGATATCTTTCACTTACTATCTCTACTATAAAATCTCTGAAGTTTTCATTCCTTTCCGTCCGGCAATGGCATTCCGACGAGATAGTATCAGTATCAGTATCAAATCAGTATCAGTTAAAGTTAGACAATAGACAGATCCAGATCAGACAGTACAGTGTTGTCTGCTGTTTGTCAGTGTCACCCCTATATTGTAGTAATAGGTGTCACCCTTTTTTTTTTTTTTTCTTCTTTGGCAACCGAGTCTCCAAAACGGTGTTGTCGACTATACTGCCAGTGTCGAGTAGGTGTCACCCTTATATGAATATTAAAAATCAAAGTGTCACCACCACGCGTAGACAGAGAATATTCTCTGTCTACGCCACCACGTCACCACAGTGCTTGTCAGTGCCAAATTATGTTGCAATGTTGCCCAGACGAGTGTGAACTGTGAGCATTTTTTTATACTTGTTTTAGCTCCAACCTTTTTTAACATCCTTGGTAATGATAATAATGATCCAAGGATGTTGAATTTTAACGTCCTTGGATTGACACCATAGGGCGTTGAAAAATGCGGACGTTGAAAAACGACCGCGGCACCTAGCTTCTACATAAAAATACTTATAAATCTCAGTATTATTGTACAGTCTATGCTTGTAAACAAAACCATAGAACACGTTGAAACCATAGAACCATTGACACGAAGGACATCAGTCGCGTGACATGACTGACATGGCCCTTCAATGCCCGTCTTTAAAGAAATTAGACCTAATAAATATTGGGTAAAACCTTGACACGCACACATAAATACACCACTGACATTTTGGTGCTTCAATCGTTTTTAAGTGACATTTCATCCGCATTTTCTCAAAATCATAGCTATTTGTGCATGTGAAAGAAGAATGTGCTTTGTTATTTTTATTTTGTTTTTAAAGGGGGAAAATCATCGAATGACTGCGCCTGGGTGAGGCGGGAGGGAGTGTCAAACTCTTACTGACTAAAAACCACCCCGTTCCTTCTCTTGCACATCGAGCCGGAGCCCCGGTAACCCGTTAGGTCCTCCGCGACATGATTAATAGTCTTGGCTTTATAATTATATAAAGTCTGGCAAACGAAAGTAGAGACTGAAAAAGCCCGGCAAATTTAAAAAAATATCAGTGTAGCAACCCAAAAATTAGTATGTCATACCTGGAGTAACCTAATTTGATACTTTATAATAATTTGTTTGTTTGTTACGTCTTCACGTCTGGTTGCTGCTGCTGCTAAAAATACTATTCGAGATTTCGAGAACTTTGTTTTTTCTGTGGCAACCGAGTCTCCAATACGATTTCGAGAACTTTCTGACATCCCTAAACGCATGGAAAATATTTGACATTGACATTAGAACTTAAAATGATGTAAGAAAAAATATTGAGCACTATCTGTGCTGTGCCATAGCTGTGGCCTCTCATTCATTCATTGTCATTTGTCAATACTCAATAGCACAACGGGTTATGTTTCAGATTATTAATTAATTCTTCTTACAGTAGCAATCATAACGAACGGAGGTGTCTATTTAGTTATGTAGTAATTACGAGGTTAATGATGTCGAGAATTAGAGGAATAGTTCAAAAAGATGCGTTGCAGGCACCAAAGTATAAACATAACGAAATTCTCAAAAAGAAAAACGAAGATCAATCAGCAAATTCGAAAGATGAGATAGAAAGTAAGTATAATAACAGTAGTAGGTATTTAACCATCCGACCAAACTGAACTAGTACTAGTACCAACTGTATTTGAGGTATCTAATTGTTTACATGTCTTCCATTTATGTAAACATCATGTAAATGTGCATATTTGTGATAAAAATGTCTGCATATTGGGGTATTTTCAGAACATCAAATAAATGAACTCTTACACAAATTGCCAAGATTGGATAAAATATTTGAGGTTCACCGCAAAATTGGTGAGGGTACATTTAGCTCAGTATACCTCGGGTCTCTACGGCAGCATGCCTCCCTCTCCAATGATGAGAAGCGATGGTTCGCTATCAAACACCTGGTACCCACTGCACATCCAGCTAGAATTGAACATGAATTGCGCTGTCTACAGGATATTGGGTTTGTATTCCAACTTGTGACCACAGTGCTCACTCAACTATTGAATACACTCTGTAGATCCTCTGCCTGCCCAGATGGGACACAACTATGAATACAATTGTATTAGTACTTACTTTGCTTGTTTACTGTGTTGCTAGTAGTAATAGTAAAATAGCCTTTCCAGTTTCCTTTCTTCTTTTCTAATATTACAAAATTGTAGTAAGGAAAACTGTTTATTATCTATCTTTATTAATTCATAATAAAATCATGGGTTCTCAAGACTAGAAGAGCTAGAGATCTTCCTTCATCTGTGTGAGTTACACCATGTGCTGTAACCTAACATGACAATGTTGTGGTTGATGAAATTGAAGTTTAATGAAATATGTCAATTATGTGACCTACTATAGATATTTTGTTTGTTTTAGAGGCAAAGAGCATGTCATCGGAGTGGAGCTCTGTCTGCGGAACTTGGATACTATAGTTTTCATAATGCCTTATATACCTCATAGAAAATTTTCAGTAAGTCTTTTAAACTGTCAAACACCAAGCGGTCAACGGTGACCGCAACCTATTGTTCTATAATTGTGTCTACAAAACCGGTACACAACGAGTTAAGGGGACCTTTTCTGAAAAAATAAATTGGAAAACCTGTTACAGTCCTAAAAAAATTGGTACAAAAAATAAAGCACAACACAAGCAGTAATTGTGTCTAAATGTAATTTATACCCATGTGGTTTTTTGTGCTGCTTCCTACTTATTAGCGTGAAGGTTTATAACTTTCTTCAATCAATGGACTATTCAAACCCAAAAATGTATTTATTTCAAACTAGTATGTAAATTACAAGTCCAAGTCTATGTCCATACAAAGTTTGATCATCTTTCAAGCTGATCTTTGACAGAAAATACAACCTCTGCTGGTCAATCATATATTTACATTTTGTTTATTATCTACAAAACAAGTATTAATTCTTAGTTCTAAATTGTAATTTAAAATATTCTGAACTTTGATGTTATGTCTTTTTTCTAACAGGAATATGTAGGTGAAATGGATGCAACGGAGCTACGGCAGTACATGCGAGCATTGATGGTGGCCTTGCGACATGTGCATTCCTTCGGGGTCATCCACCGCGACGTCAAGCCCAGCAACTTCTTGTATGATCGAGATAACAAACGGTATGCAATAAATACAACATTACCTTCATATGCTCCTGCATCCCGTGGTCTGCTTGTTTGCTGACAAAAATATTTAAAGGTCAAAGTTGATTTTTAACATCTAATGTGAGACATACTATATTAATTAGAAACGCCGGTTTATTCACATAAACTAATGCGAAAACCACGCATGTTGCTCATGAAGCAGACTCCTTCTGTGACTCGTAGAGCTTTTCTCATTAGTTCACGTGAGTAAACTGCTGTTTAATTAATAAATGTGTCCGTTAGTAGTGAAGTTATTCACTTGTTCCAAAATGTAGAGTCCTATTAGAGTATGAGCAAACAACTCAATGGTTACTCTTTTTAATTGACATACATACATAACTTCACGCCTTCCCATAGGGGTAGGCAGAGACTAGGGAACGCCAATTACTACGATTCCTACATACCTCTTTCGCTTCGTCAATAGTCATCAATATTTTCATGCATGCTCGTCGGTTAAGGGTACTTTAATTTGGCCCTTCTTGAAAATATCGCCAATCTGATCACTATATGTCCATCTAGGGCGCCCTCTACCGACGGCCCCATTTATATCCGCTCTGTATACTTCTTTCGTTACTCTACTTTCATCCATCCTTTCTAAGTACATGTCCAAACCAGCCTAACATTTCCTTTTCAATCCTTGTCACTACATCATCTTTCAATCCACACTTTTCTCTAATAACACTATTTTTCACTCGATCACTCAATTTTAGTCCACACATACTTCTCAAGGCTCTCATTTCCACCGCATTAATCCTGATTTCATGCTTCTTTTGCCACGCCCATGATTCACTACCATACATTAACGTTGGTGTCATTACACACTGCATTACAGCAAGTCGAGCTTTGCTGGATATTATTTTACTCGACATTACAGAGTGTAAAGCACCATTACGTAACACTATTTCCCGCTTTCACTCTACTTTCCATATCCCCGTCACACTTTCCATCTCTCGTAAATAGTGATCCCAGATACACAAATTCATTCACTTGTTTCAATTTTTCATCACCTATCATTACCTGACATTCTGTTATCACCTCATTTTTTTCTTTCACTAACACTTTCGTCTTGTTCACATTTACTTTCATACCTTTCCTTTCAAATGCATCATTCATAGCAGTGATCATTCGAATTACAAACGAACCAAAAGGTACGAAAGGTCTTTTTAATTGACTTCCCATAAAAATGGAGGAGGTTCTTAATTCGGGCCAGAGTGGGATTTTTGCTAAAGGCGATCTTTGTCGAACGGAAATTAAATGTAATGATTTGAACAATAGAACGACCAGAGGGGTCAAATGACTCAAATAAGTTTTTGATTAGTCATACTTTTGAAACTATTACATTGTCGTCTTGTGACATTACAGGTAAGAAGATAAATATTTATTTAAAATTATTGTAAACCTATGAACACTGCAATGGGTCAAATGATCCCTTTTGTATTCTTATTCAGATATTTACTGAAACTAGAGCTCGTTGTTAAGTTGGAAATAATACTTAGTCACTATTATTGAACGAATTAGGGGGCGTCCATAAATTACATAGGTACACGCATACCACGCATACCGGGGTATGCACGCATAACGTCAGGGACGATATCAGCTCTCGTCGCCTCAGTAATCTTGAAGGTAAGGAAGGGACCTGTCCACCTTATGGCTGCGTGTAGATAACGACGACCACCCCCGTGTCTATGCATGCCTATACATAGGTATAGGCACGCATCTCGCTATCACAGGGGTGATAGCGAGACTGATCGACTCATGGACCACATCCAGACGGCTGTAGATCTTGTGCAGGGGCAGATACCCTCAGCGGAAGTGGTTTTGCTTGGTTATTTCAACGCCCATCACTCAACGCCCTTGCTTCTAGCCTGACACAACTGGTGACCGCGCCCACGCGAGCCTCAGATGTGGAGGGCCTTCACTATTGGACCTTCTGCTGACCTCGCACCTGGACAGCTACAGCGTATCTGTTGATCCCTCTTGGCTCATCGGACCATTGCCTTGTCCGGAGTTCTGTATTTTGGACGTGCTCACCGCGACTACAAGAGGTACGCTGTCGCCGTGTATGGCACTATAGCTCGGCAGACTGGGATGGGATGCGGTCCTTTTTTGCATTTTACCCTTGGAGGCGGGTTTGCTTCTTGCAGGATGATCCCAACACCTCTGCCAATTCTGTTGCTGATGTGGTGCTGCAGGGAATTTTCCTTTTCCTCCCATCTTCTCTGGTCCCCGTCGGTGGCAGACATCGGCCCTGGTTTGGTGCTTCTACCAGAAAGGCTTCACGTAGAAAGCGGGGGGCCTACCAAGCCTGGGCCGATGCGGTGGTGGCACGGGATGTAGAACCCAATGCCCTACAAAAGGAGTATAACTTTGCCTCCAAGTCCTTCAAAAGAGCTATTGCGGGCGCCAAGTCGCAGCACTTACCCCTTGACGTCCATAAGTCGAGCGGGCCTGATGGGATCCCACCCATTGTTTTGAAGATGTGGATCTCTTACTCTTCAGGCGTAGTTCCGACGTCATGGAAGACAGCTTTAGCCCACCTGATCCCTAAAAAAGGTGATCGATCTAATCTGTTAAATACAGACAGATAGCCATAACTTCCCTCTTCTCGAAAATAATAGAGTCCATTATTAACTGCCAGCTCCTGCATTACTCAGAGGATCATCAGCTGCTTAGTGACCAGCAATGCGGCTTTCGTAAAGGTCGGTCTGCTGGTGATCTTCTAGTTTACCTAACGCATCGGTGGGCACAGGCGATCGAGTCTAAAGGAGAAGCGTTGGCAGTAAGTTTGGACGTGGCGAAGGCCTTCGATCAGGTTTGGCATGGAGCGCTTCTTTCGAAGCTTCCTTCGTACGGACTTCCCGAGAAATTATGCGAATGGAATGAAATAATGAATCTCCTGCTTCCTTGCAGACAGAAGCATTAAGGTGAATACTCTGATTTGCTGTCTGTAAACGCAGGCGTCCCTCAAGGCTGTTCCTCCTTCATGTCAAGGACATGCTGCAAATCAGCGGCATTCATTGTTATGCTGATGACAGCACAAGCGATGCCTACTACACCGGCCGCGCTAACATTTCTCGGGAAAACGTCATAGAGAGCCGAAACAGACTCGTGTCTGAAATCGAGACTAGGGAGAATATCTGATTGGGGTGGACTTCATTTTGTCCAGTGTTTACCGCTAAGAAACTGCCGTTGGTCGTCTCTCCTCAGTTTCTAAGCACCCCCCTAACTACCTCAGCCGGTATTACTCGGTGTCAGCATTTCGAGCGACGTCAGTCCAGTTTCGCGGTCATCTAGAGGACAAGGCCAAATTAGCCTCGAGGAAGCTTGGTATGCTCAATAGATCGAGGCAGTTTCACCCCGGCCCACCGCCTGCTTCTATATAAGGTACAGGTGCGGCCCCACATGGAATACTGCTCTCATCTTTGGGCGGGGGTACCCCATTACCAGCTTCATCCTCTGGACCGCGTAACGCGGTGCCGTTCGAATTGTTGAATGTCGGGATGTTCCAAACCGGCTGGACTCTTTGGCAATGCGTAGAGATGTAGCTTCATTGTAAGTGAAACAAGTGAATTTATTTCTGCAAATAGGCTACAAGGCAGCACCTTTACACGTCAATTTTATCAAGCGAACGATGAGTTCGACATTTCCTAACTGACTACTCTGAGAAGAAATGCCGAAACAAACTCAGAGGTCTGTCTCTTTTAAAGTCCAAACAATATGTACATTTTCTATTGCTTATACCACGCGGAGTGCTCTGAGGAATTGTTTGACCTGATACCTGCTCCATCTTTTCGCCATCGACCCTCAGGACAGCATATGCAACCTCATCATATAGATGGTTGGCAGGCCACAACTGTGCGCTTCTCACGATGCTTTCTGCCTCGCACAGCAAAACTGTGGAATAATCTGTCGTCGGTGTATTTCCGAACCGATACGACCTTTAAGAAAAGAACGTAACGGTAAAACGGGGTAAATGGATACAGAAAAGGGGTGAATAAATGTTGGGAAAATATTTTTATATTTATTCACCCCATTCCTGTGTCTATTCACCCCTCGAATTCTATTCACACCGTTTTACGGTACTCGTTTTTGAAAGGCCGGCAACGCACCTGTGACTCCTTTGGTGTTGCGGGTGTCTATGGGCGGCGCTGATCGCTTATCATCAGGTCGTCCCTATGCTCGTTTGCCTCCTATTCTATGAAAAAAAAACATATTATTTTTATCACTTAATTAATATCTAATTCTATTACTACTTTCGTTCGTATTACATTATAAAATATTAAATTATTGTAACAATATAAATATAACATCATAACACACAAATACAACATTAAAAAATAAAAACTATGAAAGGATCATTAAATGTCGGTCTCCCTAATGTTAAGTTATAATAGGATCATGGGCGTGTTGGACGTTAAACCAACAGTGTTGATATAATTATGCATGTGTGATTTGAAAGAGATTGATCTATACATTATTAATTTTCTTAGTATGACAACTTTTACGCGCTCGAACCCATGATCTCGGCTCTGCAATGACACTTACAACCATTATACCAGCGAGGAAGTCTAAACGTTCCATATTATAGCACTTTACTTAAGAATTTTGCATTCTGAGTGTTTCAATGATCTTACGGCCGATTCTTGGGTTGGACTAGGCATTAAAAGGATTTTTACAAAGACTGTAATTGTGCGCGGTGTATAGTAATACATTCGTCCTTATTATATTATTATGTAACTATTCACATAACTGACGGTCGGTGTTTTTTATAATTGTACATCTGTGTGTACCCTTTCGGAGAATAAAAGGAGTGATGTTATGTTTAATATGTTAATTCAACTATTATAATGATTGCTTTTCTTTTTAAAGGAGAAATAAACGGAATTAAGAGTTTCATATCGTTAATGACTAACATTTGAAGTGTGATTACCTGAACAACCGCATACTTTATGAAAATATAATTACCATTTACATGATCTAGACATCGAATACTTATTTTAATAAATGACATTTCATTTGTGTTGGTTGAACGTCCAACGTTCATACTAGAGTGCTCATGATCATTTAACTGACAAGTCGGGACCATCCGCGTATAGCTGTACACCTTCTACATATAGCACTCGAAAGTTATGACACATTTGTTTACAAAATTACAAAATCGTCGTTTTCAATGGACACGGACACAGTGGATATACTCCCTATTAACTAAAGAAAGAGACAAAATTACTGAGCTTATCAGCTCTCTCTCTCTCCTTTTTTTACTTTAAAGTACGTACTGTAAGTACATTAAAGTACACTGCGTGTTGTTTACGTTGTTAATTGATACATTATGTTGTATTGCTTATATTTTTAATTATACCTGCTTAATAGCTTAATAATTAAGCATTATACACATATAAATAATCATTATACAATTTAGATATTTGCTAGTCGATTTCGGGCTAGCACAGCGCCTTTGTCCTGCACCTGAAGGAACGCCTATGATCGGCCCACCCCCAGCACACTCTAATGGCGTACGGAAACGAACGCGTGATGAGGTATTTATTCAAAGAAGTTGCATTTTAATATAACTTATGTATTGTGTGGAATATTTGATTCACTGACCACTCACTGTTAGGAGGACGGGCCAGCTGCTAAGCGGGTGGCGCTCGACCTGAGTATGGGCTCACCAGCGGCGACGGGGACTGCGACCATTGCGGCGGCGGGACCAGAGGTAGCGGCGGCGGAGCCCAGGCCGGGGGCAGCGGGGTCCCGACCGGGGGCTACGGGGTCCCGGCCGGGGATGTCGGGACCCAGGCCAGGTACTGTCGGGTCCAAGCCAGGAGCGGTAGGTCCCAGGCCTGGGCGCTGCCCGTGCGCCGGAGTGGCGGGCGTATGTGACATGTGCTCGGGACGGGCCGCGCCCCGGGCGCCGCGGGCGGGGACCCAGGGGTTCAGGCCGCCCGAGGTGCTGCTGAAGTACCCGCACCAGACCACGGCCGTGGACGTGTGGGCGGCGGGGGTGGTGTTGGCCAGCGCTTTAACGGCACGGTATCCATTCTTCCGCGCGAGCGACGACGTCGCCGCCCTGGCCGAGCTGGCCGACCTCGTCGGCACAGAGCCGCTGCAACGTGCCGCCGCGTCTCTGGGTGCGTCATCTGCCTGTATTGTATAGTAGTGATGTAACGAATGTAATTTTTTGAACATTCGCGAATGCGAATAACTATAACTCACATTCGCAAACGCGAATGAGATATTAAGTTTTTTAAGACAGTATCGTTCAAACGACATGCATTCCTATTGTATTTTATACCGACAATTGCCGAGTTTATATAAACTCATCCGATTAATGGACTAAGTGTCATTCATTCATTCCGCTCACACCGCCAGTCTTTTCGTAAACAAAACAAGTAGTCCGATAATTAAGGAAGGAAATATGGGGACTACCTGGAAAGTTTTCCGGGAGTTTTGAAAATCGGTAATATGTAGATTTGCTTTCGATTTTCACTTTGCATCTTTATTTGTGTGCCGCTCGCGCCTCCATCTTGAAAAATGGCGGTCAAAAACAGTTTTTCTACAATGTCTTTTTTGTGCATTTTACGAGAAAACTTTTAACTACAAAATTAAAGTATGTACTCAGAATGTAGTTGAAGGTATGCGAGTGCGCGTTGCAGGGCGGCGCGTGGTGTCGTCGAGCGCGCGGCGCGGCGTGTGCCTGCGCGCGCTGGCCGCCCGCCTGCGCGGCGAGCCGCTGCGGCGCGCGCCCTGCGTCTGCCGCCGCGAGTTCTGCCTCTGTCCCGATCGCATCAAAAAGGTCACTAGCGTAACTTTAATTACTTATTTCCTGTTCAATGAACAAAATAAAACAGTAGGTACTTCCTACACATACAGTGTCCGCTTCGACAGCTCGAGAATTCGTAGATTCAATATTTAGACAGCGCTTGATTGCGGTTCTTTACAATTGAAACATGAAGTAAATATTGACGGGAATGATTATAACACTGGCAGGCGGAGGAGTGGGACCCGCGGCGCAGTGTGGCGGGGTTCCCGGACAGTGCGTTCTCGCTGGCCGCGCGCTTGTTGGACCCGGACCCGCGCACGCGCATCTCTGCGCACGACGCACTGGCGCACCCCTTCCTGGCCGCCGCCGACTGACGCCGCCCACTGCACGGAACGCTCCCGTCTCATGTTACGATGATGTTATACTTTTTCAAGTTTAGTAGGTACCTAACGATCTCCTAGAATCGACGGGTCTTAACCGAGGACTGTCTACCTTTAATATTTATTTTTGTTTTTTTTAAGCATTATGGTTGTGAATTGACTTCATATCGATTACTATGCGTCCTAAGAGATGTTATAGGACACAATACGAATTTACTGTAGATCTTGTCAGCCATTTAACTTGGAGTAAAATGTTTGACGCCAGTTGCGTGAACAGTTAACTTGAAAATAATAAAAGTGGCGTACAAAATGGATACAGTTACAGTGCCTTCCACGAGCGTCTGTGGCGCGTAGGTATCTACAAGTGTCGCATATGTTCGGCGAATAGATTTCATTGTTGATTAGTTATAATGGGGATCTCAAAAGTAAACATAAGTTTCATATCGAGTACAAAGTAGTGATAAGAAGTGGCGTGCTATGCTATGTAGCGACGCGGCTACGGGGTTTATACAGATATCTGATAGTACAACATAATATTGTTATTTACAAATTTAGAATAACAATTTTTGTTTAAGAGTCCATGTTTACGCCGTTTTAGTCACGGAACACATGAAGTAAGTGAAGGTAGGAACTTTGACAGTAGTTGCCAGTAGTTGCCCCGTGTTTGAGCTGATTAACTTGTATTAACCCCTGGTAATGCCCCTGCCGGAACGTAGATAGACGCGAGACACAATGCGTTTTCTATTGTGCCTCACATACCGACGGATAAGTAGATGTTAATGAGAAATTCGCACCCATGTACGATATTAATTAAGATTGTTGTGTATAGATGAAATGAAATAAAATGTCGGTTGTACGTTGAAGGTAATAGGAGTAACAAGTCTGTGTAGCCTTGTACTAAAAACTGCGATTAAAAAACCAAAAGGTAAAATGAAAATAAACACCTATTACTTATTATTATTAGTCATTATGCACTGATATGTTACCCAGTTAACCCGCCCACGGATAGTTTAGAAGTCGATGCCACAAGCCCATAGCAAAATATAACTTTATGGTCACAGGAATAATCTGTAATAAAATTATAAACATACAAGTTAAGGTTTTAATGAATAATTTTGTTTAGAACGTATGGCACCGACTTCTAGCCCGTAAGTGGGTGAGTAACCTGTCGGTGCATCATGACCATCCAGGTATTTGTGTGCACACAGTTACACTACATCTTGCGTGAGCGATATAGAAGCGAACGCAATTATGAAGCGGCGACAGTGGACACGCGGATACAATGCGATGCGGTGCGACGCGGCGGCATTGTCCTACGTGCATGCGAATCGTTTCGTTTTTGTTTCCGACTGTCATAATTAGATGGCGTGCTGTCACATTTTTGTTTGGTTCTAATGACGACGATTCGCTTGCACGTAGGACTTGCCGCCGCGTCGCACCACATCGCATTGAATTCACGTGTCACCGCTTTATAATCGCGTTCGCACGCAGGACGTTAGCGTTGGATCGGTGTGTGGATGGTGTGGTGACCCGTAATATGTGAAGGGTGAACTTGCTCAGACATAATTCAAGATTCAATGCAATTATACTGAGAAATTTAAAAAATTTGGGACACCTGTTTCGGCATTCGCACTAGCTTTTTATATTTGTTATTCTTATAAAGATAATGACTAATAATAAGTAGGTAACCGATATTTTTCGCTTTGTAGTTCTTATTTTACCTTTTGTGCCTTAGGTTTGGTTTTTCTCAACTTACATTTTGTCTAATTTTAACCTATTCGTGTAGGTATTTAATAAGTATTGGCGGTTTCACTGTATTATGTGTTCCGTGGCTTTATTTATTGAAAACGTTTACCTTTACATGTGCCTTTAATGTGTTCAGAGAATATTTGTTATGTTACCTCATTGTATACAAACTATAATAAAGTATTACTGAAACAATCAATATTGTTTCCACTACACCTATAATTTGTGTTTCATTGACTAACACTCTTTTGCAAGTTAAAAATGAAATCATAATTATTGATATGAAATAAATAACATAATAAGAATATAAGAGGATATCCACCGAAAAAAAAATAGCCGGCGCGTACTCACGCCGCCTCTTAAAATCTCTTTGGGGACGCGACTGCCCGTCACAGCAGTTTTGTGTATTGTGATGAAGTTATATAACTAAGTATATAATTATTGTCTGATGCTCCAAGCAATTGATAAATCCAAAGACACCACTGATTTCAAAATGTTTAATGTAAAATGTTAATCTTTAGCATTTACAGCAGTCTTTCTCAATTACACAGACAGGATTTTATTGCTGTTTTTTTCAGGAACTTTGAGTTGTGAATGCAACTCATTACAAAATATATAAATAAATAAAGAATACAGAAAAGTTAGTTTCCATGGGAAACAAGCATTTGCAAACGAAACTCGTGTATTGCCAGCAGCATTTTGTAGCAGACGGGTTATTTTTATTAAATTAAGCTTATAAATGTCTACAACTGAAGTCATGTAAATAATTGGATGTAATTCCCTGATAACGAAAAATGAAACCTCAAATAACGTGGCACCACTGTAGGTTCACTATTTCGAATTAAACTAGGCAGTTTTGAATGGTCAATAATTGAATTACCCGTCCATCTGTGAGGCAGTAAAGCTATCTGATTAACCATGAAATTCCGCATTACGCGGTAACTGCAGCAGGCGGAAGGACGATATTAAAGTTTCATTTTTGGTCACAATCACAATACAACTCATCACACCTTATGTTATTATTTTCTTTTTAGTCAAATGTCAAATGATAATCTGCAAACCAATGTTAATATTTCAGAATAGATCGCATGAGAACAATAAAGTAACATTATTAAAATATGAATTTATAAATGCATCAGTTTGCAATAATTTAATAATAATTCTTGTTATTATAATGCTTCGCGCATTTTAGCAATATCAAGTATAATATTGTTATACAACAATAGTATGGCAACATTACACGACATGCCCTGGCAGAACATTGCTGAGATAGAGAGTTTCAATTTTTCCAGAAGTTAGGGTTTTGTTGCAGTCTTCTCTCGAAATTTTGATACCATGTGTGAAGAGTATTTAAGGGGATGTACGACACGCCAGGAGTAGGCGTCATCTGATCCTGAGTCACAGAGAATGAAGCCACGAAGTTCACCAGATGTTCCAGCATCTTTTGTGCAAATGTAATGTAGTTATTCTGTTGTTGCGCCTGTAACCATAATTAATTTGAATTAGAACATGGTTCATGAGTTTGTAAATGTCAAGTGTTTGTAATTTAATTTTGTTTGTTCTGGTCAGGAGGTTTGCGTCTCCTATAGGAATGTTTCAATTGAAAGTTTAATTGTTGTTATTAATAGATTTAATATTACATGCCACATTTGTACACCAGAAATGGTCAAATATTTTGATACTATGCTCACTGCTCATCTGTACATAGGTATTCTATGATGTATTATTAATTCACACATGTTTTTGCAAATAAAAAATCTAGGTCTTTGACTCCTTTACAATAGTGAAAGAATTTTTGAAACCACTAGTTTTTGTGTGAAATATTACTAACATACATACAATAACAATTATAATACACTATTGATTCTTCTTCATTATATTAATAAACATGTAAACTATATAAAAAACAGTGGTAGCACGGAGTCTGGAATTGTGCCCGGTATATGGCAATAGGCTCACCCCCTATTACATGGGACTCAACATAGATAGTGAAAAGTGGGTGTTACATTGTACAGTGGCATTAAGTGCCGTAATGTGCACCTCTGCCTACCCCTTCGGGGATAAAAAGGCGTGATGTTATGTTATGTTATGTAAACTATATTTTACGTTTTAGATTATGTTTAATAATTACAAGATATCCTCGCACGGTTTCACCTGCAGCTCGGCTCTTATTAGATGTATCACTTCTTCCCGTGGGCATTTAATATGTTGATGGTAAAAACATACCTATTCTATGTAATTCAACAAACCAGGTTTTAATAGAAACTCTTTGGATTAATTCCACCTGTTCTTCTTTCACATCACATCCAGAACAATAGGTTTGAGAACTACAACCACCATGTGAACATATTTGAAGACAAAGTAAACTTTAACCAAATACATAAGTAGCTGATGTACTTACTACAGAGGAAGCAAGCAGTTGAACATTTGATTCAGGTTCAATAGCTATACCAATCTGAGCGTTGTGACATATCTGTTGCTGACCAAACGCACTTATAAATTTATTTTCACCTGCAAATGAGAACAAAATACAGAAATACTTGCAATTATTGAACATAGTGTATGACAGCTGTTGTAGTATTGCTATATTGTTTTGCATTTAGTGCACTATTTTCATTTATTAGTAAAGGTTGACAAGGAACACAGAATGCCACAGTCCTTCATGGACAAGAAAAAATCTAACAATTCATGCAATTTGTAACAAGACTCAGTAATCATTATTACGTTTAGTTACATCCTGGATGATATTTTTATAAATTAGCAATAATGTTAAACAATTCAATAAAGATTATGTGGCATTATGTGCTTCTCTGCTATACCCCTTCGTGGATAAAAGGCGTGACTGAATAAAAAACATATTTGAAATAATTAAACAATCTTACTTGATAATTCGTGTAGCTTTTTCAAAGTTCCTATTTTAAAGATAGCGGAGGGTTTTGTATTGGAAATATGTCCTAGAAGTTGCCAGTTGGGTGGTGCAGCTGGGTCTGGCCAGCTCCAATACACCATGCCCACGGTACCGGCCGGCAGTGGCGCGACACCCGTTAGGAAGACCACCGCATGGTTAATATTATCCGCTTCCGTGATTGTGATGAGAAACTGAGTCTCAGATAGTGGCGCAAAGTTTGTCTGCACCTACATTCACAAAACACATTTAAAATTGGTTCTAAGATCAATCACTGATGTAAGCGTAAAGTTCTACTTACGAGGCGCCCTGATACAATTAACCCAAATACATTAGACATGTTTTATATTTGTATATTTATATGATAGTCACGATCACGAGTATACTGCAATATACTTAAAATACTTTACTTAATTCTAGATTCTAGAATATTATTCTATCGAATCAATGCTTAGCACACAAAAGCAACATTTTAGTCTATAGTCAGAATTTTAATTCGATTCCAGATTTGACATTGGCTACTGTCATTTTGTGAAATAATGATACCACATATAATAGTGTAGTGATGAACACAAAAATCGATAAACACTCAGTGTGTGTGTTTTATAATAAAGGTTACAGAAAGTGACAGGATAGCGATAGCGATGACGGCGACAATTTACAAAATAAATTATCACCATAACACATCTATCTGTTTTATTTGTCATGTTCCTTCATGGTTACATTTTTTTATTTATTTCAGACACAATTATAAAATAAAAGTCTCAGATCGTTAATTAATCGTCAAAACTAAATAATCGATCAGAAATATTTAATTTCCTGATAAACTTAGTTTACTAGACTAAAATTATAAACGAGAAGAATCGATCCCGAAATATTCCATTTCCATATCGAATACTTTCACAACGTCACTATTTAGTACTTGTCATAACGTTGCAACACTGAAATTGTCAAATCTGGAATCGAATTAAAATTCCGAGTGTAGATTTTCTTCTGTCAATGTCAGTAACGTCATTTGTCAATTCAGTCTAGTGGTGTACCAATTCAATCAAACTCAAACTGAAAAGCATTTATTTCAATTAAACCATAATTTGGTACTTTTGAAACGTTAACAAATATAAAATAAATAATAGTATGTCAGTCTGTCCGTCAGTGAAGCTAGGCCCTCGTTCCAAAATGTCGATTCGAGTGGAGAAGAACGAGCAAGAAACTCCATTCGTTACTCTTTTAAAAAGAAATCTGTTTTACAATTTTCTGATACAAATTCCAATATTGTACACACATGTAAGAAGAATGTAAATTTATTACATAATTTATAATATTAGCATTTATTACACAATTTATTACATAGATGTATAATAGATAGGTAGATAATAGATAGATGTATAATATATAATTTATTACATAGATTTATTATTCATCTATGATTTATTACCTCAAGATTATGACGATTATATTTGATTCAGTCAAAATTAAGAATGTTTAATGTGTTTAATTATTTATTTGCAAGTTATTTCTATTACAACTTTAGTAAGACATACACATACACAATTAAATATTATGATTTCACATTCACGCAACATGGTGAAGGTTGCACAATCAAATCAATGCAAATCAAATCAAAGAGGGGACTTACCGCTGCAATGGCAGCGAGCTCAGTAGTCCGGCCCAGTTTAAGCTACAAATCGCGCATGTGACTTTTTGACTTCACAAATTTTAGGTACCTAATGTTGAGTCTGCCTATCTATTTTAAATCTGGCATGTAGGTACTTTTTATGAGTCGAAAATCATCCAATGACTTTTAAAGCCGACAGGGAGTGTCAACTCTTACTGACTACAAACCACCTCGTTCCTACTCCTGCTCGGAAACCCGTTAGATAAGTCTTCCGCGGGTTTGTATTTTTTTTATGGGCTTATTCGGTAAACGAGCAGACTGATCACCTCATGGTAAGCAATCAGCATCGCCCATAGACACCTGGAACACCAGAGTCGATACAAGTTCGTTACTGGCCTTTTGGGATTAGGAATTTGAGGATTGTTGGGGACTAAGGGATTAAGGAGATTGAGGAAGGGGAAGGTAATTGGGCCTCCGGTAACCTCACTCACGCGACGAAACAACGCAAGCGTTGTTTCACGTCGGTCTTTTGTGAGGCCGGGGTCTCACTCCGGTCGAGCCAGCCCAGCCCTGCTGGTCCATATCTGTGGTGTTCTGGTGCCCCTTTGAGACGCGCGCGAAATGCGACGCACCGTTCACTCGTGGTTCTGGTTAGGCGAAGAGATATTCTTGCTCGCCGTTCGCAACCCATGATTACGGTGGCCAGAGATCGTCTCGTGATCTATGATGCCCGGAGTGTCTCCCGCGATGGCAGGGCGTGAGGTCGAGGAGTTTGGTTACCTCCCCTTAACTAGTATGACTTCGTAAAAGGAAGAGACGGCTACTCAGTCCACCTCGCTCCGCACCGTGGCCTGATTCAGAGCCAGACGCAAGAGATCGCCGTCGCCGACCACATCCCTGAGGAAGGTGCATAGCCTTTGCAGAGCACATCGCTACCATATGCTCCACCGTGTCGTCCTGACACGGTAAAAGTTGAAGTCAAAGCATTTATTTCAATTAAACCATAATTTGGTACTTTTAAAAATAAATAATAGTCTGTCAGTCAGTCCGTCAGTGAAGCTAGGTGAAGCTAGGTGCTCATTCCAAAATGTAGATTCGAATGAAGAAGAACGAGCAAGAAACTCCATTCGTTACTCTTTTTTAAAAAAAGCATGTTCTACAATGTCTCCGAAACATATTCCAATACTGTACGTATATGTGAGAACAATGCAAAGACACGCTTGACGCATTGTACTAATTACAAAACTTATTAAAATAAAAAACATAAACAAATCAAAAAATATCTTATAGTATAACATGGTGCTCAAACATGCATACTGGCAATCCATAAAAATGTGCTTCTATACAAGAAAAAGAAAACTCTTTGTTTCTATAAAGAAAGAAATGCTCGATGCCATATGGAAACTAGATTGTCTACATTAGATTATAATGAAAATATATATTAAATTACCGACGTTTGAGTATTGACCAGCTCCAGTGGAGCCGAACCCACATGCTGCCAAGCATTCTTATTTTCAAGATAATCTATCAGTGTGTACGTAGTAAACTTAATTACATAATTCGCGCTTAATATAATATGTTTTTTTACTTTCATTGATATGTAGTAGGTATGCTATTTGGTATTTTATTATAGTATTTAATACCTAACCCCATAAAGGATTTCTGTACCTTGGACAGTCTGAATTGCGGCATAGCTAACTTATTTTTACCTCTACTATTATCGCTTCTTTTTTCAAATAATTGCCTATTTTTTCTTACATAGGTACATTATACTTTATATATGTATATTGATTGTATTTATCGTTTTAAACAATTCTCTCAGCGATTCGCATCGGCGTAAGTTGTGGTCCTTGCCAAAGACTACATTATTATATGAGGTCCTTGTAGTGATGACGCCCGGGCGTTTCCTCCCGCCAGAAACCAGAAACAGATAATTACCTCCCGATTCCCGAAACTTCCATGTCCGTTAACACCTACGTGAGACGGTAGATCATTTGACGAATGTATGCAATTTACATAATAATGATGAGTGACTTACGCGATGTTGACGCTCTGTGGAAACAATTTTGTTTGTTTTCACGCAAAATGCAACCTTACGCCTGACAAACGTCAAATGACGAACGCGTATATGCATAAAATGCAAGCCCATTGCAAAGGTGCTAAGGGTGAGGTGGTGCGACCGCCCAGGGCCACTGCAATCGAAGAACCCCTTTGATTGGCATAGGTTTTAAAGTGTTACTTACGAGCATTTTTGCCCAAATTACATTCAGGAAAGTTGTTTGCATATTATTAAGTACCTAGGTACCCGTAACTTAAAGCCAACTAAGCGTAGGTATGTATAGGTAGAGATAGGCCAGGAATGGTGAACCATTAGGACGTACGCAGCATGTATTTTGGGCACATCAATGATTACGTAATTGAAGGTCAGCAACGCACTTTAACGTAGGTACTTTGGTTATCGTGACCTGCTTATCATCGGGAGGTCCGTATGTTTTGTTGCTACTATGTAGATCATGATCATCATCACGACAGCATTTAGATGCTCCGATGGAAACTTGGAAGCGACCTGCATCCAGTGGCTCTTTACTTAGTCTGTTTATCCTTTGCAGCGGTAAGTCCCCTCCTTGAGGAGTGGCTTGAAAGACGCTACAGCGTCCTCACCTACCGCCTGACGGAGGTCCTGACGCGGAGCGAGGGGGACTGGGATGCCGTCTCCTCCTTTTGCGAAGCAGTTATGCTAGTTAAGGAGGGACGCGTCCCGACGCGTGAGGCAGCGAAGCGTTGCCTCCTCGCAACCCAGCCATCGCGAAGGATACTTCGGGCGTCGGGGATCGCGGGACGATCTCCGGCCACGCGCGTCACTTTCCGCGCGCGCCTCAAAGAGCCATCAGACCACCACAGATGGGGTCCAACAGGGCCGATGCCGATTCGGAGTCGCGGAGAACCTAACGGGTTACCGGGGCCCCGGCTCGACGAGCAGGAGAAGGAACGGGGTGGTTTTTAGTCAGTAAGAGTCTGACACCCCTACCGACTCACCCAGGCGGGAGCAGTCATTCGATGATTTTCCCCCCTTAAAAAAAAGGCTGTTTATCCTTTACCTTGTGAACTACAAATACTTGCCTGCCTACTGCCATCTCGACTATAGTAATAAGTATAACATATCTAGGATACTATGATAACTTATATCTAGGATGCTTCCGCGCGGTTTCACCCGCTCTGCTCGGCTCCTCAATAGGAGCAACGACCTATATCGTTCCATACTGGTCCAATGTGATAATTATATTGGTCGATTAATTATCACATTGGACCAGTAGCTCCGGAGATCAGCGCGTTCAAACAAACAAACTGTTCAGCTTTATACATGTGAGCTATCTCCCCTCACTGTATGGTGCACTATTTACTGGACACCTACTGGTTTAATAGCGTACGAACTGTAGGTACGATATCGGCATATCGGTAAATACAGGCCAGAAAGCTTCTACATGATATCGGTAGAGATCCCACGCGGTAAGAAACTCGAAGCTTTGTAAATAAATTATAATGGGATAAATATATTTATCATAGATAATAGGTCTTTACCTATTATCTATAGCAAGTTCACTAGGTTCACTAGGTCTGAATGTAACAGGTGTCTCTATACTGTGCTTATATTTTGTAGTTTGTTAACCTTATGTTGCAAAATTATATTCTAGTGGTTGAATTAAAACAACATATAAATTAAAATCTTTTATTTTAATGAACAGTCAAACATAGTCGAAAACACTTAGTTACAAATAAACAGGAACTAGCACCTGAAATGACATAATAATTAACAAAGGTGTTTATAATACGAAACTCGAATGAAGTAAGTTAAATGCATTTAATTGAATCAGAGAGCAGACGAAGCTGAAAGTCAAACAGATAAATGTTAACTGGATAGTGATAACAAGAGCAAATAATAGATAAGACAGTTGCGACGCGATAGTAAGCAAGAAGAGACGCCACTAATAAAATTATTATAAATTAAACATTTATTATCACACAAACGATTGCATCATATCATCCTAACAACCAACTCTACCCTAGTGCTACTATTTGAAATAACAGGTATAATATATTAGATTTGTTATATTGCAGCATAACATAAAGGTACACAATCAAGTACCTACTTTACACAAATTATTACATCTTTTGTTCTTGTTTCCATAACTTACTCAGTAAATTGCTACTTTTAATAAGTCTAATATATATTAATAATCTTTAATTGTTTTAAAGAAAATAATACTTTAAAGTTACATCATGAGAATAACATCCTAATATCTACTAAGTAAGCCTAATTATTCAGCGACCTTAACTAAGTTATCATTATTATTGAATATGTATTTAGTTATTGTTATTGTACTGTGATATCAATTAGTGTTTTCTAATAATCTTCATTGAGGTTTCTTACTTTAATCTCTCATGTAAGGATAGTCGATGTCACGTAGAGGCACAAAGGTCTCTTTGATGGATTGGGGTGTTGTCCAGCGCATGACATAGCCAGGCCCGCCTGCTTTATCATTGGTACCAGACATGCGACCTCCACCAAATGGCTGCTGGCCTACAACTGATCCAGTTGACTTGTCGTTGATGTAGAAATTGCCAGCAGTCATCTTGAGCTCATCCAGAGCCTTGTGTAGGAAGTTCTTGTCCATTGAGAATACAGCACCAGTCAAGGCAAATTTAGTAGATGATCCAATGAGCTTCATGGTCTTGTCCACTTCACTATCATCATACACATACATGGTTAACACAGGGCCAAAAATCTCTTCAGTCATAAGCTTGTCATGGGGATCAGTGGTCTCAATTATGGTGGGCTGGACAAAGTAGCCTTTGCTGTCATCAAATTCACCTCCAGCAATGATTTTATTCTTAGAGTTTTTCTTTGCATTTTTTATGTAACCTGTGATTCTGTTAAAGGCTTTATCATCAATCACAGCAGCAGCAAAAATTTTGAAATCTGATGGGTCACCAATCTTTAATTTAGCTTGCTCTTGAACTAATCCATGCTTTATTGGCTCCGCAAGAGATTTGGGTACATAAATTCTTGAGCATGCCGAGCACTTTTGTCCACAGTATTCAAATGCTGAGCGAATTGTAGCAGTGACCACAGTCTGGATATCAGCTGAAGGATGCACAAAGTGATAATTTTTTCCTCCACATTCACCAATCAGCCGAGGGTAATTTTTATAGTGGCTGAGATTCTTGCCAACTTCATTCCACAGCCAGTTAAATGTTGGAACAGAGCCAGTGAAGTTAATGCCTGCTAGATGAGGGGACGAAGTAATTGTGCGGCCAAATGTGGGCCCATCAGCTGGAACAAAGTTAACAACACCATCTGGAAGCCCTGCTTCACGCATTATGTTAAAGATCCGCCAATTTGACAATAGTGCTGTATCAGATGGTTTCCATACAACACCATTACCCATGAGAGCAGGGGTGTAGGCCAAGTTGCCCCCAATAGCTGTGAAGTTAAAAGGGCTGATTGCAGCAATAAATCCATCAATGCCACGGAATCTAAGAGAATTTCTTGTCACAGATGGGTTTTCTGAAATAGGTTGATATTTGGCATTCTCTTTTAAAAAGTACACATTGAATCTGAAGAAATCAATGAGTTCAGCAGCTGAGTCTATCTCTGCTTGTATTACACTCTTAGACTGACCCAGCATAGTAGCAGCATTGAGTTTTTGCCTGTGGGAACCAGCCATCAGTTCTGCAGCATTTTGCCAGATACGAATACGTTCCTGCAGAGGTGTTCGATCCCATCGTGCTTGAGCATCTACAGACACTTTGATAGCTTTTTGTATGGTTTTCTCACTCGCGTAATAGAATTTTGCAATTTTTTTGGAGTGGTTATGAGGCATCACCTGGTAACGCGCTTCGCCTTCTTTGATAGTTTCTCCGCCAATGACGATGGGCACCTCCTCAGTGACAGCAGCGGTTTGCTTCAGCTCCTCAGCAAGCGCAGTGCGCTCGCCACTGCCCTCACGATATTCCAAGACCGGCTCATTCTGCACACCGAAGTCCTGGAACTTGGGCAACTCTACAATGCTGGAAAGTGAGCGCTCGAACTTGCGCCCGCTACGTGCGGTTCTTGCCCATACAGCCCACATCTTAACGAAGATAATTGTGATATATCCAAATGCAAAGTATTGTCAAGAGACCTTGTTACGTAAACCGTATCGTTCGCAAACACGACAAAATGTGTACGACGGTAGCTAACTGACGTCGATAATACTTTCCACAGAAGCTGTGACCTTCACTGATCCATCACATTTTCAAACATTATGAAATGGCACCGAAATAAGATTTGGTAGATTAACAACTTGTTTATTGTTTGTTTGATATATTGTATAATTAAACAGATTCGTCCACTTCTTTAATTTTGGAATTGTCGTGCTGACATTCTATTAAAATGTTCGATAGAATCAATTCTGTATTTTATGGATTTCAATCAGTTTTTCTTTTTCTAATTCAGAGCCTTGCAGCTGGCTGGCTGCTTTGGCTGACATTTGACTTATTGCGAATACTGCAACGCGCACATTATCGACCTAGTCGAATCGTGCTGTGTGTTTGGTACTATACTTGTCGAAATCTTGGTGTCCTTCTCTCTCTTATTATTTTCTTGCCCTATTTAATGGCTCAGAGTGAGATGAAAGTATTATAATTCCTGTATTTATTTCCTATTGAGAACCAGAAAGAGATAGAAAATAGTGAGATCCTATCCTGTGTTTCACAGATTATTAATAAGGTAAAATCGTCATTGAGTTTAAGATTGGGAAATAACTTGAGAAATTTAAATACCTATTTTTTGTTACGTTTTGTACATATTGATTTTATACAAACTCTTAACTCAAAAGTTGTATATATTTAATTTAGTAATATTTAGTTTTAATTTTATTTAAGTGATAGTTGTTATTGAAGTTTTTTATAGAAATAAACAACTCAAAAGCATTTATTTCAATAAAACCATAATTACATACCTACTCTTGAAACGTCAAAAAATCCTTACTTAATATTATAAATCGGAAAGTGAGTTTGTTTGTTTGTTTGTTCCGCTTTCACGCCATAACTACTAAACTGATTGCTTTGAATTTTTGCAGACGTAAAGTTAGAAGTCTGGATTAAATAAGAGGGTACCTTTTATCGCCGAAAAATTTGATATTCTCGAGGGAAAACGAAATTATTGGTATAGATGGCGCTGTGTGTATTGGTATAATATGTCACATAGGCTACTTTAAATTTTATTATCCTTTTGTGACGCGAGCGAAGCCGTGGGTAAAAGCTAGTATCAAATAAATAGTAGCCTGTCAGTGTCTGTTCTTCAGTGAAGCTAGGCGCTAATAAGACGTAGGTACGTCTAATGTAATGCTTTTTTTTAAACTTATCTATACTTCTTCATTCGAGACGAAAGCACAAGAGATATGGATATGTCGTATTGGCGGGACAAACTTGCCACCGTCGATTCGACCAGTATAACCAAGTACAACCTACCGATCGGCCACAAAAATCTTTACAAGAATCTAGTAAATTGTAGAACGAGGGAGAGTAGTGAGACCTTAACCCAGAGGTGCGACGATCATGTGTTCATGGCCGATCAGCCTGTTAATTTAAATAATAAAATATTACTTTGTAACTAAGTATCCTATCCCACACCCTCAGAGGCAGATTCAACCTAGAAAGCACCTCATATGCGTCCTTAATTTAAGTTGCCCTGAAAAATCCCTGCTCTACAAAGAAGGAAAGGGTAGTACCCAATCGCGATTGGCAATTTTAAACTCGTGTTTTAAATTATAAGTCCTGACTTCTACACGATGTTTTTCGTTACCATATTATGTTATGATGTCATTGGTGTAATAAATAATCTTAGAAAATACCTACCTCGTCAATCGTCATTTATGAAGTCGATGCCTTAAAAGGTCATCCCACATATAAAAAGCACGGCTATGGTGCGGCGTCGCCGTGGTGATCGCGGGCTTCCAACTAGCGGGCGGCGCGTGGCCGACGCGGTGACCATGCGCTTCAAACTCACGGGCGGCGCGAGGTGGAATCTTCTAACAATAGTAACTACGATGCGACGTTGATTCGTTGGCGCGTGGTGGGCGGCTCGCCGTCAACTCGCCGACGACGCCGCGCTGACGCCTCGCTGAAGCCGCGCTGGTGGCGCGCCGTAAGCACGCGGGCGCGATAATATTAATAATATTACCGTGACGCGGGCGTCTCGACTACATCTCGAGTGGACCGCGCGCTGACAATCCGCCGCGCCGTCGGCTTTTTGTATTGACATTACGAAATGTATCATACGATTTAATGTTCATATTAATTAAATGATCAACTTAATGGCTAGGTTGGAGTCGTGCTTTTTAAATGTGGGATGACCTGAAGTCCTAAACAAAACTATTTATGAAAACAAATTCTCAGTAGTAGCACGGAGTCTGGAATTGTGCCCGGTATATGGCAATAGGCTCACCCCCCGATTACATGGGACTCATAACATAAATAGTGAAAAATGGGTGTTACATTGTAGTGGCATTAAATGCCTTTCCTACCCCTTCGGAGAATAAAAGACAAATCAAAGATGCTATGTGTACCTAATTTTATTTTTATTTGTTACGTTTTAGTTCCATGGTGTAGCGATAAGAAACAACTAAAGATGTAACGCACATTAAATTATGGTTTACCAGTTTTGAAAATTAGCAATTTTTGCAAATTTTCATCAGCTCTTTCCGATTTTCATTTTGCGACCTCGTACACGTGCGCCGTTCGCGCCATCTTGGAAAAATGGCGGCCAAAAACAGATTTTTTGCAATACCTTTTTTCCTGTGGGTAGGTACTTTTACGCCGGCTCGAAGTAGAGGTACGAACGGGGTGGTTTTTAGTCAGCAAGAGCCTGACACTTCCTTCCACCTCACCACGGGCGGGAGAAGTCATTCCTCCCTCAAAAAAGATAAAATGTAATTATCATAATATAGGTAGTACCTACTAATTTTATGTCATCTCAATTTTTTAATGCCGGGGGATAAAAAGTAGCATATGCATATTCTAGACCATAATTTACCCGTTCCATATCCTGTTCCCTTCAGCCGTTTTGACATGATTCAGTAACAAACATACACACAAACATGCATTTTTTTTATTTCACGACCGACTTTTTCGTTGTCTTAATAGATGACGCAAAAGTCTACAGATTCAAGCAGACCAAAGAGCAGACAAATAGATAAGAAAATGGCAAGAAGCAAACAAGATCTCTGAAATACATTGACAGCGCCATTGTCGGACAGCAATACATTCAAAATTTTAGTAGAGGTATATGATATTAACGAGACGGTGAAGCATGCTCCGATCGGCGTCGGTGGAGCTGAGAGTGGCGTGCCGGCCGCGGCGCATGGCGCGCGCGGCGCGGACCCCGCGGCCCGCGTCCGTGCTGCAGCCGCAGTGCGTCGTGTACCCGCGCGCGCCGCGCAACGAGCGCGTGATGGAGCACTCTGTCGGCACCAAGGAGCGCAACTGCCTCGCACACGAGCTCGCTACGCTCACTCGCCACCCTGAGACTGTTCCCATTTTTTTAGGCCCAGAGAAAACGTGTTATGGTGATTGCTGTATCCAGGCGATGCCCTTTGATCATCAACTGGTCGCTGCGTATTTCCATCATGCTTGGCCAGCTACCACAGCACAAGCTATAGAGCTGGCTACTGCTTGTCAACCTAGTTGGGAGCGCACTTCGGTTGACGAACGTTGCAGTGTGCTCGAGCGCGCTACTGACCTGCTCGCTGGAGTTTATCGCCAGCGGGTCATCGCGGCCGCCATGATCGGCCAGGGTATGACTGCTATCCAAGCTGAACTTAACGTGTGTCAACTAATTGACTATTTGCGTTTCGGATGCTATTTTATGAGGGAGCTTACGAGGAGTAAAAGCCTAATCGACGGTGGTGATGATGCAATCAATCATAACCAATATCACGGCCTCGAAGGGTTTTGGGCCGCGATTACGCCTTACAATTCACTTGCTTACGCTGCACAACTGGCAATAATACCGACGATCATAGGGAACTGTGTTGTGTGGAAACCTAGTGACCACTCGGTGCTCGCCTGCTATCGCGTGTTCGAGTGCCTACAGTGCGCGGGCCTGCCTCCCGGCGTCCTCAACTTCGTGCCAGCTGATGAGAAACGTTTTCTGGACGCTGTGTGCACTAACACAGATCTAGCGGGCATTTCATTCGGCGGGACGACTCGCACTCTCGAGCATATTTGGCGTACAGTCAGCGCGCATATTGACAAGTACTTACGTTTCCCTCGGATTGTCGGTACCGGTAGTGGCAAGAACTTCCACGTGGTGCACTCGTCGGCGAATTTGGCGAATGCGGTTGCATGTACAGCGCGAGCGGCTTTTGAAATGGCGGGGCAGAAGTCTACGTCGTGCTCCCGCGTGTTCGTGGCGCAGTCAGTGCTGGACCGTTTCACGCAGTGCCTCGCACAAGTAGCGCAATCCCTCGTGGTCTGCCATCCTCTCGACTACCGATGTTTCACGTCTGCGCTCGCGTCGCAAGCCGCTTACGACAAGGTTGTTACATTTTTCTGAGATTGGAAATAGACGTTCTCATTGTACCTTTTTAAATAAACAGCAAGTATGTCAAAGGTGTGTGGGTTCCTGGAGCGAGCCTGCCGGGACAGCACGGCGCGGCTGGTGTGCGGCGGGCGCACGGAGCCCGGCGTGGGCTACTTCGTGGAGCCCACGGTGTACGTGGTGCCGGAGCCCACGCACGAGCTCATGTGCGAGGAGCTGCGCGGGCCCGTACTCGCTGTGTGTGGCTTCCCAGACAATGACCCCGAGGCCCTCGTGTGGGCTGTCGCCCAGGCACGATACGCTATAACTGGGTCTATATTCGCACGTGTGAGTCGACTTACATTACAACTGTCTAGGAAGTCTTGGAATGTACAAACATGTATGAAGCTTGTCTATGGCACTGACTTCTAACCTATCAGTGGGTGTGTAAGCTATATGTAAGTATGTATGACCAATAACAGTTATTTTTTGCTTTTTAGTTTTTACTTTTCGTTTGTTTTTGAAGTCGGTTTTTTAAACGCAGTTTTTTATTTTTATTGTATACTTTTTACTTTAGAACTAGAATATAGGTAAGGTGTAACAAAAATAGTGCACAATATTTTAGTAGGTCAATTAGTATGTGATAAACATCATTTTTTTATGAAAATATTTTATAAAAACTTATCAATCATTTTTAATAATTCAATTATTCATTTATTCCTATGTACCTATTCGAAAAGCTCGGTCGTTGACCCGTAAGATAAACGTCCGCGCGCATCCATACGCCTGGCGTTATGCGTAAAAACACAACTACAATTTTGCAAATGTGATGCTAAATTTAATTAAACATGTTGTTGTTTACATTTTTTTTTAGGTAAACATAATCCTTATCATGTACTATATCACCTGTTAAAATATTGTGCACTAGTTTTGTTAGACCTTATATATTATATTATGTACAATTCACATCGGTGCAAAGTTTTCATCCATACATACTTATTATTAAAGCTCAAACACCAGCTACTGTTAACCATTGTTCTCTTAGTTAGTTCATCATTGGACATTTAGTGACAACCACACCACACCTAGGTGTAAAGTTATCATCAATACAAATTAATCAAACTCAAACACAAGATACCTACTGTTAACCGTTGAGAAGTTCCCTCAACTATCGTACTCGTACTACTTCATCTTCAGACTCTTATTGGTCTTAATCACATACCACCTAGGTAAAAAGTCCTCATCAATACTAATTAATTAAACTCAAACACAATATAGCTGCTGTTAACCGTTGAGGAGTTCTCTCAACTATGGTACTACTTCATCATCAGACCCTTATTGGCAATCACATACCACCTAGGTATAAAGTCCTCATCAATACAAATTAATCAAACCCAAACACAATGTAGCTACTGTTAACCGTTGAGGAGTTCCCTCGACTCCATCATCAGATCAGTACCAGATCATTATCAGATTGTAGTGGTTTTAACTCGTCGAGTACCGGTTTTGTAGACACAATTATAGAACAATAGGTTGCGGTCACCGGTGACCGCTTGGTGTTTGACAGTTTAAATGCTTAACGAAAAAAATAACAATTGCACTAGTCGCCCCTATAATTTTTAAAAGTTCTCCTCGGTTTCCCTGGGATTCCATCATCAGATCCTGACTTCATGACAGTGGGACCAAATGACAAACCTACCCTTTCAAACAAAAAAATAATTTTTGGGATCGGTCCAGGCGTCTTCGAGTAATCGAGTAATAAACATAAAAAAAAAACATACAGCCGAATTGAGAACCTCCTCCTTTTTTTTGAAGTCGGTTGAAAAAACCGAGAATTAACGTCACGGGATATTTTAAAAGACAATGCTGATGCTGCAAATACTTTCTTTATGGACACGAATAAATTATGAACAAAAGTGGTGCGTTGTAGTATCCTCGGATATGTTTGATTAGGGAATAGCATGATTAACTTTCATGTAATGTGCAGTCACCCACCCGACTGTGCAGGACATGCGGTGGGCGCGCTGGGCGGCGGGCGCGCTGCGCGAGCACTCGGCCGCGCTCTACCTCAACGCGCGCTGCTCCGACGACACGCCCGGCCAGCAGGCCCTCGGCGGCACGCGCAAGTCCGCCGCCGGCGGGGGCAAGGTACTGTGCAGTGTACGGTGCAGTAGTGCGCCGGGTGTATGTACTGCAGCGTCGTGTGTTGCAGGCGGGGTCGATGTCGTACCTGCTACAGTATCGTATGTTGGAGGCGGGGTCGATGTAGTACCTGCTACAGTGTCGTATGTTGCAGGCGGGGTCGATGTCGTACCTGCTCCAGTTCGCGACGGAGCGCTCCATCCGCGAGTCTCTGCACGCCTGCACGGACGTCACGTACGCGTACATGGACGAGACACCGCCCACTGTCGTGCTCAAGTGACCTTATTTGTGTTGTTCCGTGGAGTCGCACAGAAGTAATAAAACTCTCGTCACAATATTTTCTCAATATTTTATTGCAATTTAGGATCAATACATTACATACATTACGGATATATAAAATACAAGTAAGGCAGCAGGCAGCGCAGTGACACCGGCCGCGACCTTTGTACGCGTCACGAGCTCATCACAATCTTACTAACAGCTAACGATGTCAACGGAGGGCGACTCGGAGACTCCACTCTCTAAGCCTGCTTCAAGCTTTACATCAATAATACATTATTTCTTTTGTACACGTTTCCTTATAAGTCGCTGTCGTAATACGCCACCGACTCGCTCCTCAGTTAACTTACAAAAATAAAATTGCAACGTATTGCATTACTACACGTGTCAGTTACAACTATAATAATGTACCACCTAACTGTCATAATATGCATAAAGTACGATATAACTAGGCATTGGCAAGTGACACTATAATACCTATATATATATATCTAGTCATGTACGAGTACCACTCTCATTGGCAGTGCACTCATTCATTCTCCTCGACGTCTATCACTTTTCTAAATTCATAAAAGCAGGAAAGAAAACTAGACTACGTCTAACTGCAACATGTTCACGTACAGCTATTGTGCAATCTTTACTTTTTAAAATAATTAGAAATGGAAAAAAATAATATAAAGGAGAAGAAGTTGGTCGGAGTGATAGCACATAATAAAATACTGCGTGCCGCAGAGTGCGGAGTGCGCCGCGCGACAGTAGCAACGCGGACTACATCACCCGCGGGCGGCTGTATCGTGTCATTATCTTCTTGACACATTTTGTTGTCTAACGTCTAAAGCTCAATTTTCTAGTATGCCAAGATAAGAGAATACCAAACAGAGTGCTTGCAGTGCGGTTAGAAGTGGGCCGCGAGGCCGAGGCAACCAGTGCCTCCCAGTATATAGGTGCACTTATACCACTTACAATCACTTTCAATGCTCTCGTCATATTCTTCCACGCACTACTTTACAACCATTACCTTCGTCTGCAATCGAATTACACTTGTATACTTGTAAATGTTTAAAAATGTCAGTACAATATTTTTACAAAACATAGGAATGCCATCAGGAATGAGTATAACGTGATCACACGCGGCTCTGTCCGAGCCCGATTTGTCTATTTGTCTATGATGGTCATAGACAAAGAACTATATTATGTACACCATTGTTTATATGTAAATGCTCCAAAATGGTTAAGAACGCTTAATCGGCGTCGTTTCATTATCAGCTAATCAGTCGCGCTTGGTCAGTAAGCGTTTGTTTGGTTCCGCGATATATCGCTAACTACAGATATGACTCGATGTACCTTAACCTATGCGCGGATAAACAGTAGTTGAGCAGATTTTAACAGGAATGACAATTACTGGCGTCCCGCAGCGCTGCAGGCGGCGCAGGGGTGCGGGGGCGCGGGCGATGCGGGCGCGCGGGGTGACCTGCGCGGAATAATACAATAATATGTTATTATTATTTTTGCTTACTCACATAACTGAAGAGGAACTGGACTTGCTTGAACTTGAAACTCGTTCCTCATCAAACAGTTACGTTACTAAACCAATGACGTAGTGTATGGCCGAGTACCTGGCAGTGTATGGCTGAGTACCAGGCAGTGTATGGCCGAGTACCTGGCAGTGTATGCTGAGTACCTGGCAATGTATGGCTGAGTACCTAGCAGTCTATGGCTGAGTACCTAGCAGTATATGGCTGAGTACCTGGCAGTGTAAGGCTGAGTACCTAGCAGTGTATGGCTGAGTACCTGGCAGTGTATGGCTGAGTACCTGGCAGTGTATGGCTGAGTACCAGGCAGTGTATGCCCGAGTACCTGTGCAGTGTATGACTGAATACCTGGCACTTAGCAGTGTATGTCTGAGTATCTGGCAGTTTATGGCTGAGTACCTGACAGTGTATGGCTGAGTACCTGGCAGTGTATGGCTGAGTACCTGGCAGTGTATGGCTGAGTACCTGGCAGTGTATGGATGAATACCTGGCACTCAGCAGTGTATGTCTGAGTACCTGGCAGTGTATGGCTGATTACCTGGCAGTGTATGGCTGAGTACCTGGCAGTGTATGTCTGATTACCTGGCAGTGTATGGCTGAGTACCTGGCAGTGTGTGGGTGAGTACCTGGCACAGTGGTGCTGTGACTAGAACAGTAGGTCGGTGTGGTGCGTGCGCGCCTCGCTCCAGGAGCGCGCGATGTCGGCTCCGCACGGCCGCGCGTCCCCCTCCCCCGCCCCCTCCCGCTCCCCGTCCCCGTCCCCCTCTCCCTCTGCATCGCCTCGCACTTCCGCCATATCTGCTGCGCCTGCCGCACCCGCTGTGGAACCTATTGTACTCAATAACTCGTCTATTGTTGACAATATTATATTATTATTACAAAACAGGCATTGTATATTAAAAGTACTTTTGGAATTCCATTATTGATTGAAAAGCTCTAAAATGAAAAGAAGTATGTATTATAATAACTTGTCCGGCTACCCGCTTTATAATTTTTAAAATGAAGAAACAGTTAACAGTCGAATAAAATGATAAGTATTACGTACGTCGCTATTAAGTGAGATGTACTGACCTGTGTCGGGCGGGGTGACGCCGAGCGTGAAGGCGGCGCCGCGCGTCTTGTGTGGCCGGTAGCGGGACAGCGCCGCCGAGGCTGCGGGCACACACACTACGCTACTACGGTGCTACGCTACTACGGTGCTACGCCGCTACGGTGCTACGCCGCTACGGCACTAGCTAGCAGCAGCACACTGGCAACGAGCTCACGCGTTCTCCACTCAAATTATTACACATTTCATAGTTTTATAAACTCACAAGTAATGGTGAAGAGTTTATTTAGCCCAGAGCGAGGTGTAGTAAAATATTCTAGTTGCGGCGTAAATACACTGATTCCTGAATAAATGGAACTAATAATGTGCTCTATCTATACTTATAAAATGTCCAGACTGACTGACTGACTTATTCGTCGTCGCTAGCGTAATCTGTCAAGGTTACAACCAAACATGAATTCGGACTGTGTACTTTGTTAGCTTGATATACTTACTAAGGGCCATCCCTTGTTAAGTGTTTTCAAAATTCTTATTCCATAATAGGGGTTGAAAAATAAATGGGATTGATTTATTTTGAGTGTGCAGTAGATATTGGGTGTACATATGATAAGTACACAATGCTGTGTACATACCGTTCTACGTAAGCCAATTTTAATTCTACATATACGTACTTTGTGACGACCTGATTAGAGAAAAATAAGAGTTACAGGAAAGTGGTGCCGGTCACGTCGCGGCCTGGTCTTCTAGGTAATGGACACGACATAAAAATAAATGACAGTCGTTTGTTTTGTCGCCATTGTTGCAATATACAAATTTAATGCCAAAGAGGATGGATGGATGTGTCTACAAATACACTCGGTGCTTGTAGCATTAAAAAACGTCAAGATTCAATACATGTGACGGAAGTTTAAGGTTGGGCAAAAGCGTTTATTAGTTTGTAAACAATACGAGAGTAGAAGATTCTATTTAAAGCGGCAATACGAGTTATTGTTATGGAGGCGTTTTTTTTTTAAATAATTTCTTCGTTTGACCTCAAAATCGACTGTGAATAATTGAAATTGTTTAATTTATATTTTCTTCCATAATTACGTGAATAGAAGTTCCTTATGTTCTAAAATTTGACGACAGGCTGACGGCCAACTTTCAGGCTTCAGGCAGGAGAGTTCGGTTGTTGTAAGTAGGGACAAGGGCAACGAGTAGGTGTAGTATGTACTGAATAGTACGGCTAGCGAAGTGTTCTAGGAGCACAACACTCCATCTAGCATAATTACGCGGCGTTCTAGCGACATGCGACAGTCACACGAATGTCTCGCGGCGCTGCCTCGCTCTACGCCCTACTGACACTTCTCCCGGCTGACTTGTTGCTGCGGGGACTTTGTTAAAAGGAAAAATACAATTACATACAGTGATATCATGAGTATTTCGTTCGGACACGTCTGTGCACACATATCGTCTCGGTTAAGAAGTCGATGTCTATTATGACAATTTTACAACATTAGGAGTTTCCTCGTGAGTAGGAGTAGACCAGAGTCCGGTGAGTGGCAGGTGGCGAAGTAAAGTGTGTGACAGTTACTTATATGCGTGTTGGCCGCGAGCGGCGCGTGCAGCGGCGGCTCCGCGAGTTGCGGCGTGCTCGGCGCGCTCGGCGCGCTCGGCGTGCTCGGCGCCGCCTCCGCCGCGCCCTCCTCGCTTAGCGACGTCTCTGAAGGGTACTCGAACGTGCGCGTCAGCGAGTCGTCAAACTGCAGTTTTAACTGAAAACGATAGGTATGCGACTATTAATATAAGATAATAATATAGGCGTCGCGTAGCCCGGAACGTGTGAAGCCTTACCTTCGCGATGCGGTCTCTGTTGGGTCTGGTGGGCATGGAGGAGCGGCCGTTGATGAGCACGTTGTCGTTGACGAAGCGCACGCTGCAGGGCGAGGGCGGGCTGCCGTCCGGGGCGTCCGGCTCGGCGTCCGACTCGGAGTCGGAGCGCTGCAGCGCGTCGGGCCGCAGCACCACGACGCCCGGCTCGCCCGGCTGTAACCACAACAAGCTGCTCACTATCTGCCGCCACGTCATATTTTTTACGGGAAAATGTTAAAATAACGTTAGCTTCAATTACGTACGTGGAAGGGGTGCATAGAGAGGATCATTATCACCCACTGTAACCCAAATACAGTGGCCAGTGGGGACCCAGATGTCCTGGTTATCAAAAGCTTGCCATACGAAATGAGGTTCGCTGTTCCGGTCGCTAAACGTTGGATACGGTTTTATTTATTTGATAAGCGTTACAAATATTTGTTCTGAACTAGAAGAATAACATTTAATTATGCGAGCTTATTATGACCAGCTTTCTACCTGTGTTTCATGATATTTACCGTGATGTTTTATGACCTGGATGTAGTCTTTCTCAGTAAATGGGCTTTATCATCATCGACAGCACAACAAAACCTACTAAGGCCTCAGGATATTTCGATACCGAGCAGTAACTCTAGAGATTGTTGCATCTAACAGAACATATCTACACATGGAAGGACATAAAGTACGTACTTATATGTATTAATTAACTATATAATTAATAATAAATTCACATTTCGACTCGTGTGACGTATCTCGTCTGGAGACTCTCTCGAAGAGGAGGAGGAACGCGTTCGTATCTGCGTATATGAACGGTTTCTCCAAAACTTTATAGTAGCCTCGGGTCACGACTAGACTACATGCAATAGTTAGGCTTCAGGCTACAAACTAGAACTACCACGCAATAGTACAATATACAGAGTCAGAAGGTTCTGAATTCGATCTTATGTTTTTTGTATGATCTCCAGTATTATTTTTTATATAGTAGTATTTTTTTAGTATATTAGTAGTAAGTCTTACTTTTCTTATTTTTTTTTTTAAATCGACATCTCTTAATTTTTTAAAATCGACATGTCTTCATAGATTTTTGAATAAATGTCTGATTTAACCAGGAGTCGAACAAGTGTTTATAAATAATTTATTCCTTACATGTTCCAAGCCAGTGTGCATGCAAAAGCTGAATGTTCATGTTGACGTTTGTATCCGACTTCGAAGTAATGAATGCTTTGTGCCTTGTAATACTATTATTATTACGAGGAACAATTCGCATTGGCGGATTAAAACATTTCTTATAAATAACATAATTTCGTGACATATTACTTTGTGCAAGTTTTACAGTACAAATGACTTTGTTAGTTAACAGTTTTAGTTTCGTAAAATAAGGGATCGGGTTTAATAAGTTCATCTGGTCCGCGTGAAGCACTCGTAAGTCGTGCTCGTGAACGACTAGGCGCGGAATGTAACAGGCGTCCGGTGACCGTGACGGGTACTAACCGCGCCGGGTTCAAGGGAAATGTGGCCGGACCGGTGCCGCGGTGCCGTGGGAGCACCGAGCCACTGCTCGACTTCACAAGCGTTTTAAAATAGGATGCATTACTTCAAACATATAATGGTATTCTTTGTAACGAAATCAATTTATCATTAGATAATATTTTAATAACGTAGTCTGTTTCATTATTTATCAAAGCATTTATTAAAATATAAGTGCTCTCTTTGAGTTCACATTATAGTGGGCTAGGCAATTACTGGAGCGTCAACTTCGTGATCCCGGCCGAGGTTGCAGGTTACTGGCCAGTTCGCACTACGCTAGTATTTTGCTTGAGTAGCGAGTATTTGGTTGCTCTCTCTTGCTTCTGTCCCTAATTCCCCGCCGCCGCCGCCCGGTCAAATTTTGAGCTTATGTTTTCATCGCAGGAATCGGGGCCATATTTTATTAGTCAGTAAGGGACAGTCAGTCAGTCAATTAGTCACAAAAAGGCAGCCACTTAATTTTAAAGATTTAGACATAAAATGGTTTGATGGCACATCTTGCCTTGATTGGCGATGTGCGAAATCGCCAATCCCATCCCATTCTTGCCTGAGTAGGCGCCATGTAGGTGCCTCGTGGTGCCTCATCAGGCATTTCGTTTTGATATAAGTTTTGTAATGTTAGTGCATCTTCTCTTCTCGTGTAAGTGAGACGAGCACCCCCACACGGCCGTGTGTTCAATAAAGTTATAAGCATAACAAATAACAAAGTGGTCCTGCCAACGCCAATAAGGCAAACAATTTATGAATAACGTTTACAAAACACAGCCACTGGTTTATGTACATACCTACCTAAGTACTGCGAGTACTGCGAGTACCGTATCGCTATACTCGATAATTTTTTTGTCTTTATCAGAAGTTTTCATTACTAGAACCATACCTTGACTTGGCAGACTGCGCCTTCATCTCGTATTAAGTCACGGAGACTCCTCAACATGATTATACATACAAAATAATGTAAGTAAATATATATAGGTACATGGTTTATATAATTCGTTAATAAGGAAGAGTAACCAAAGGTTATAAAAGACGAACAAACGAAAAAGGTTTAATAAGAGTTAAATGAAAGTATTGCTGCTTGTCAATGCCGGTCTCCGCGTCGGTTCAGTAAGGGGTATGGCGCCGCACTACGGGCCCCGGAGGCAGCGCATGCGATAGCGTATCTTAATCGAGGATAATACGGGTGATTATGAGCAACGCTTTATCGCACTCGCCTAACACATGTTTAATCTTTTTACAAGTACATCATAATCTTGTTCCAAATAATTTTAAGGAATTGATAGAGAATCGTTTTCCTTTACATTCAATTGAAACATCAAGTACCTACGTCAGAAACTTTAAATTATAACCTTACTTAGTAATATTGTGTTTTTTTATTTATCGATTGTGCTGTAAGTTGGTTTGGCACTTAATTACCCGATTTATATCTGTAAAAATCAAGTATCAGCAATGTTCCCTACACCAGAGCCGTATTTTCGAAACCTGAGTCTGAGTGCTCTGCTTTCATACAAAATATTCAACATGGCGCACATCGCAATCAATATGAACTTACGATAAGTCATATTCATTATATTTCGGAAGCCGAACGTTCGCTGCGGGCCTTAAATAAACCCGGACATAAGTTTGAAATCCCCTTGAGCAAGTGTCCAATAGCACACTTATTATCTCAAACTGTCAAACACCGACGGTACTCAAAGAGACAATACTTAAATAACTTGAAAATACAATAAGCCAAAAAATTAAACACCTATTCCTAATAGATAATTTAAAACAGAATAGACTAGTTTCTCGTAAAAGTAGCCTATGTGTTACTCCAGACAATAATTTACACCCGTGTTCCAAATTCGAGCCCGATCCTTTCAGCAGTTTCAGCCGTTGTTAAGGTGATTGGGTAATAAACTAGTATACACAAACTCACTCACACACTATCGCATTTACAATATTATAAGATATCTCTAAACTGTCATAGACGAATGGCAATTGCATTCCATAGTCCACGTTCGGCACAGCACGGCTGCGGGCGCTGCGGCAGTACCATGATGCGAGTCGTACCTACCGGTCTTCAGTCGGTGGCTATTATTGACTTATCAGCGGGATACAGATAGATAAAGCCATTTTATTGATTGTTCTGCTAATAAAACATGCATATATTATTATGAACACAATCCGAGGCTACACTTTAACACTACATATATTCTACATTTATGTATGTATTTTTGGTGTCAAACAAAACAGAATATTATTTATATGGGATTGGGCGGAATCCTTCAAATTTAGTGGCCGCTTGTCGCCCCTAGGCACAGCCCCCACATCGATCCGACTCCGTCTGGCGTTTGTTAGCTGGCGGAGTGGCGGCCGCGAGCCGCGAGTCGGCGCCGCTGCCTTCAGCCCTATTACACCGCGGCCTCTCCGCCAATTTAACGTGTTCATTCTAGCCATAAATGTACTAAAACTCCAGTAAATTAATAAATCGTCACTGATAGCATTCCGATGGTCGTTACAAAGGCAGCGCGATAATAAAGTGACGCCACGTATCCGAGTAGCTGCCTACTGGTGATTGGGTTGCACTACCAAGTGGCAAGTGTCGCAGTGGGCAGTCGCGCTTACAACTTGTATCATGTGCAGAATACGTGCTGATTGGTTACATATTGCACGCGTCTAGTGTTCGTGACATGTGGAACTGAGCAACAAGGGTCGCAACTCGCATTGTACGACTCGTATACCAGAAGCTGCAGTGGCAGTGGCACGTAGTACACGTGTATGCAGTCTACTCGACCGTCTGCTTGTACTCGCTTGACGGCGTTTGTCTGACCGCTGAAATACAATATGCTCGCTTCCTGTTCTATTTTTGGAGCAAGTTGTTGAATTAGAGCCAGCATGGTGCGGCAGATTGTGCTGCAGCATCCCGTGGCTTTCTGTTGAATACAGACACTGCCACGACCGCTGTATTGTGTCATTTTAACATAAGTAGTACAGCGTGCTCATACGTCATACTTCTCGCGAGATGCAATAGCGTGCTGCATGCTGCATGGCAAAGGATTTTATCACATACCGTCTTGTGCCGGCAGTGAGCGCTAGCCCTTAAGTAGGGCCCAAAAATAGTTTGTAGTGCATGTCGCGGAGGCTGCGGAGAGGGAGAGAGAGATCGCAATCGCAACCGCAACTTGTCTACTTTTTCACAGCAGGTACACCGAGCGTCGAAGGAAAGAAAACAGAAACTGCTCTTTTGGCCCCGCTACCTGGCTCCGGGGACAGTGAACTTGGAGAAACACCATCGCTCCAATTAACTGGACCCAAAGCGGAGCATACGGAAGAGACCAATACCGCACTCCTCACCCTGAGGAGTGGTCTTCAATGCGGGCCTCCACACCACGGCCCACTACATAAGGCTGGGGAACCCTTGGGTGAGGTAGGACGGGAGAGTGTCAGATTTTTACTAAGTAAAAAGTAGTAAACACCACCCCGTTCCTACTCCTGCCTCCGGGGCCTGGCACACGAGAGAGTACGCGTCCGCAACCTTCATGGCGCTAAGTACCTACATCACAGACATGCTATTGTGAATTGAGTTTATAACAGGATATATAGCGATGGCACATTCCTTGATTAAGTGCATCCGTTCCGTAGATATTATTATTTAATAATTTAAATGAAAA